CTGGGCACCCCCCCAAACAACATCTCTGCCCGCCCTGGGCACCTCTCTGAGCCCCGGCTCTGCCCGCCCTGGGCACCCCCCGAGCCCCGGCTCTGCCCGCCCTGGCACCCCCCGACACGTTGCCACACCACGTAGCCTTCGAGTCGGCCTCACCCGGTCAGGCATGCTCCTCTCCAGGGCTGGGCAGTGCTCCACGGCAGGGGCGTGCACTGTGGTTACGGACCAGCACCGCTCAGCTCGGCTGGGTACCACGTTCCAACACCAAATCGACAGATGGGCTTTGCCCTCCCATGCCAGCAAGAGGGCGAAGCACACAGGCCCGGGAGTGGGCAGCTGCGATGTCGCACAGCATGTCATGGCGCATGGCACGTGACCATGGCATGTCACGGTGTACGGCACATGACATTTGACTGCGTGTGAGCACATGGTGTGTGTGACTATGGCATGTCACGGTGTATGGCACATGACGTGCGACTGCATGCAAGCACATGGCGTGTATGACCACGGCACGTCATGGCACACGGCACGTGATGGTACGTCACGCCGTACAGCACGTGACATGTAACTGTGGTATGTATGTCATTACCACATGTACCCGGGGCATGGCTGTACGGATCGCTGAGTGCTTGCAGGGAGGAGAGCATGCACACGTGAGTAGGCATGTTGGTGGGCAGGGGGGAGGAGGCTCGGGCGGGGCAGTGTTCTGGACATTGGAGGAACGGGGAGATTAGGTGGGCAGGACTTTGTTAGGGTCAAAGGGAGCCGGGGCTGAGTTTTCACCAGGGAAGCCGTGTGGCCAAGCTCACAGTTCTCCCACGCATGAACCATGGGCCCTGGGCAGGCAGGGGTGGGGGTGGGAGCGGACGGCGAGCGGCCGCGTCACTGGGTCGGGAGCAGAAGCCGAAGGTGTCTCAGCGGGGCTCGCCCAGCAGGCCGGTCGCTCACTCACTCTCACGCCCTTATCAAGTGTCTTCTGGGGGAGCTCCGAGAACTCCTGTTTTTAGAAGCCCTAGGAAAAACATCTCTAAACACCCTACCTTACTTCCCGCCATGAGTGTATTCCCAGGTCATGTGTAAACTCAATTTTAATGAATTTAATTAACGAATCTCCCCAGAGGCACTGGTGATTTAAGAGAAATCCAGGAAGTTCTGTTGTTAGTGAGGGTGGGCTGTGGTGTTTCACACTTAACTCTCCTCCAAGGAAAACCGCGAAAGAGAGACAGAGAGACAGAAAATGAGGATTAACCCCCCCAGAGGGGATGGCCATGCCACAATCCCTTCTCCTGTTTTCTCCTCTTGGGATTCTGGGCACACACGTACATGCACCCCACATGAGTGCTAAGCTGCCGTATAAATCCGTGTTGATTATGCGGGAGTCTAGCGACGTAAGCATTATGCCATCTCTGGTCCCAAAGCGTCTCCTTAAAGGCAGTACCGAGACCTGCTGTGGCGCGGCAGCGAGGCCGACTCACGTGGGAGGCGCTAGGTGTCCAGAGACCTCCCTGCGGACGTGGCATGTGCAGGCCTGTAACCTGGGGCTGGCTGGGACGGGGACTGCAGCATCAGAGCCCTGCTGGGGAGGCTGTCTTTGTCTCTGTCTCTCCGTCTCTGTCTCTCTTGTGCATAGGAAGAAAAAGAATAATAATAATAACTAAGAAAAGCCTTTACAGGCACTGAAAACCATCACGTGGCAAGGGTCTGGCCGGGGCCACCCCTCCCAGGCATTGGCTGAGTCCGGCGCTGGCGGAAGACGGGCTAGCGGGTTGTGAGAAACCTCAACGGACTTCCGGGACCGAAATGGAAACCCGAGTTCAGAGTTCGCGCGTGAGGAGGGCCTCGTAAACCCAGCCTTTGGGTGGGACTGTGAAGAGGACACTTTGGGGCTAAGGGAGCGCTGGAAGGAGGCAGTCCTGACATAAAGGCCACTCGGGGGAAGGTGGCCTGAGGCCCAGTGCCCCAGAGTGGACGGAACCCTACTCAGCACCACGTTTCCTAGATCTCTGCGGTTTTCCACACAGTGCATAGCGTTTAATCAAAAGCACACAAGGAGACGGAGCCTGACTGAAAACGAAGAGAAAAAGCGCAGGTGCAACACAGACCCAGAAGATCCAGATCATGTAGACAAAAAAAAAAAAAAGAAATAAAATGTTTTTTGCTTACAAATTGGTAATTGGCTTAGAGAATTAAAAGGGTAGATAGAAAATTTTGTCAGAGAACTAGAAATTAGTATTATTATTATTATTTTGGAGAGGTTTCTGCTATAGGGTGCATGCGCTTG